GCCAAGGCCCAGATCTTAAGGTATTTAGGCACCTATCTGCGATTGGTTTCAAGGACGTGGGCCTTGATTCTCATTTATAATAAGGCCCCATTACATCATAAAAGTGCTTTAAAGAGGCCTTATTGTAAATAAGAATCTCAGTTTGGTTTAGTCAAGTTATCCTCTCTCTTTCATGGACTCCACAAACTGTTGCTGCTATCCCAGGAAAGCCATCATGAATTCTTAAAGCAGAGGCAGATTTCCACCACTCCCTTAGAAAGACTAATAGATAGTCCAATTGGAAGGGATTGAAGGAAGAAGTTAGTTGAGATGGAAGAAGGGCTAGTGAGCTAGCTGGGATTGGAGGTTTGGGGAAGACCAAAAAGAGACAGGAGGGAGAAGAACAGGTTTTGGATAAACACCTAAACTTTCAATCCAAATCCAATAGCTGAATTTTGGGGTTTGTCCATCAATAATTTTTCTTCAGCAAGGAGAGAAAGTGCAATATGCGCAGTCACAAAGCAGCTGGTTAGTTGGGTTCCGAAATCTGATGAGTTTTAAAGCACTGTTAACAAGCTCACCATAAGCAGCTGGGTCAGCTACATGCTCCTGCATGAAACAGCCAAATCCAGAGAGGTTTGTGGTCACACTGGGAATGCCCATCACAGTGCACTCAGCTACCGAAAGAGACATAAAAAGAGATTTCATGTCAATGTGCTTGGCTCGGTTTCATCTTGAGTGGATAGAAACAGAAAATAGAGTGATGTAAAGCCCTTTCAGTGCCAGAGCTGGTCAGAAGGTTTCAATGAAAAACCATCATGATTTTTGCTGTGTGTTCTTTCTTCCCTCCCTCTCCCCCGCACTGCCATTCAATCAGAAAAGTTCAAAGAAAGTGACATTTTGATGAGAAATGGAAATTTGTCCCCCCCCCTTTTTTTTTGCAAGCACTTATTTCTGTTTTCCAGCTAACTCTAATTAATATCCTCTGTGAGCCCAGTGTTCACATGTGGGAGCCTAAATCCAATGTCCAGATCCTTCCTTTGGCTTTGAAATTGGCACCTACTGTGTGCACATGCTCATTTCATGTACATATTTGCAAATCTAACTGCCCAAATGCAGGACTTGGGCCTCGTAATTAATCTCCCACATTTGTAAACTGGGTTCTGTATCTTAGGCCACAGGGAGAAAAATAATAAAAATATGATTGCTTTCAAAGCCAGTCTATCTAATTATTTTTCCAGTTATACTGTAGATGCAGAGCAAATTGTGCTATAAATCATAAATATGATATCGAATTGTGTTCTCCTTTTATAACTATTATTATTATTATTTACTGAGCACCAACAGGTTCTTCCATAAAGGAAGGCATGTTCCCTATACAAAGCAGCATACAGTTTAAATCAGACGTTAGCGCTTTAACCCTTAAAATGCCATTAAAAAACCTATATGACAATAGGACTGATACCAGATATAGAATTTAGGATTAGGATGAAACTAAAAAACCATCAAGAAGGGTCTATTTTTATTCTTGGGAGATTCATATGGGTAACCCATTAGGATGAGCAAAACCACTCCCTCAAACTGAGTGCCAGCCAAACTTTTCTGTGTTAAGCTATTCTAAAGTCTAACATCAAAATCTTCCCCAGCTCTCACAATTTCCCCACCCCCATATCCTGGTTTGGGCTGGGACAAGAAGCTAAAGTGCTGAAATACAGCCAGATAATTGTGACCCAGTTGGGACAGGAGACAGGAAGTTTTAAACATTGTCTGAGAAAGCTTGATTTTGTGAGATTTCTACTCAGATTCACTGGCTAACTACAGATATGCTTCAGATAAGCACCCAAAACTTTCAGATGCTTATCATAACTAAGGGAGATATTTTCAAAGGCACAAATGGAAATTAGGCACTTAGCCATAGATCCTCAAAGACATTTGGGCACTATGGGAGTTAGGCACCAAAATATCTTAGAGCATCTGGGCCCTAATGCCTAGGTTGAAAACCTGACTGCCACTGCGCCTTTAAATATCTCACCCTAATCCTATGAGGTTTATCTATTACTACTTGTAAGTTGTCGTCTTCATTTTTGCCACTTCCCTGTTCGTGGTTGGCAATTTTTATAGCCTTCTTCCAAAACTCTTGATCATATGCCAGGCTGTCATGAAGATTGGCCTTTGTGAGCTCCACTGATATCCAGTCCATGTACTGAGTCCTTTGTGTCTATCTCTACTCCTAAGGCCTGGTCTACACTGGGGGGGGGTGGGATCGATCTAAGATATGCAACTTCAGCTATGAGAATAGCGTAGCTGAAGTCGACGTATCTTAGATCAACTTAGAATCACTTACTTTGCATCCTCACGGTGCGGGATCGATGGCCGCCGCTCCCCCATCGACTCCGCTTCCGCCTCTCACCGTGGTGGAGTTCCGGAGTCGACGGCAGAGCGATCGTGGATCGATTTATCGCATCTACACTAGACGCGATAAATTGATCCCCGATAGATCGATCACTATCCGCCTATCCGGCGGGTAGTGTAGACGTATCCTAAATGTTCATAGTAAATACCAACAGAAATATCCAGCAGACTGAAAATATTAGTACCAGATAGTGTAAATGTGCATCACACCATTGAAATCAATGCAGTTATATCAAATTACACTAGCTGAGGACATTTTGGATTGCGTCTATTTTCTTGCCTCATTATTGCAATATATACATTCCTCCAAATCTCTTTTTTTAAGGGCAGATGCTTGATGTTACTGCACACAAAATGGATTCGTCTTCTGATGCTACAGCAGACAGAAAGGTTACATGTGATTGTGGGAAAGTCAGGGTTGAAAGCAGGGACAACGCTGGGTGGTTTTCTGTCAATGGAGCAATGCCAATTTACACCAGCTAAAAATCTGGTCTAAGAACTTTGCCATCAGCAGAAGCTTTGTAACGGAGAGGAAACAGAGTCAAAAGCATTCTTACATCATTACAGTAGAAACTGAATGGCAAGCTACTCCATCTTTTTAAATGCCCCGAGTGGTAAAATGCATATTAAACTTCTGACAACAGTCAGCCTAAAGATTGCTTACCTGGAGTGTAACCCCAAGGCTCATAGTATGAGGGAAACACCCCCAAATGGCAGCCTCTGACAAAATCTTCATAGTCCATGGGTAATAATGGACTTGTTGAAGACAGGAACTCTGGGTGTAATATCACCTGGATATTCAAAACTTACATTAGAGCCGAAAGAAAAATAGAATCAATATTTTTAATTATATAAGAGATCAAGCAGTTAGTGCCTTCATCCCTAGCCTAAGCCTAGGAATCTGGACATTGCCTTGTGTGTCCCTCCCTAATTCTATTTGTACATAGCCCAGTTTGATAACATTCATAATTTTTGGTACCTTAATTTGTTTCCCCCCGCTAGAGGAGATTTTGGAACAAATTGATAAACTAAATAGTAATAAGTCACCAGGACCAGATGTTATTTACCCAAGACTTCGGAAGGAACTCAAATGTGAAATTGCAGAACTACTAACTATAGTGTGTAACCTATCATTTAAATCCGCTTCTGTATGAAATGACTGGAGGATAGCTAATGTGACGCCAATTGTTAAAAAGGGCTCCAGAGGTGATCCTGGCAATTAGAATCTGGTAAGCCTGACTTCAGTATCAGGCAAACTGGTTGAAACTATAGTGAAGAACAAATTTGTCAGACACATAGATGAACATAATTTGTTGGGGAAGAGTCAACATGGTTTTTGTAAAGGGAAATCATGCCTCACCAGTCTACTAGAATTCTTTGAGGGGGTCAACAAGCATATGGATAAGGGAGATCCAGTGGATATAGAGTATTTAGATTTTCAGAAAGCCTTTGACAAGGTCCCTCACCAAAGGCTCTTAAGCAAAGTAAGCTGTCATGGAATAAGAGGGAAGGTCCTCTCATGGATTGGTAACTGGTTAAAAGATAGGAAACAAAGAGTAGGAATAAATGGTCAGTTTCCAGGATGGAGAGAGGTAAATAGTGGTGTTCCTCAGGGGTCTGTACTGGGACCATTCCTATTCAATATATTCATAAATGATCTAGAAAAAGGGATAAACAGTGAGGTGGCAAAATTTGCAGATGATACAAAATTGCTCAAGATAATTAAGTTCCAGGCAGACCGCAAAAAGGATCTCTCAAAACTGGATGACTGGGCAACAAAATGGCAGATGAAATTCAATGTTGATAAGTGCAAAGTAACGCACATTGGAAAACATAATCCCAACTATACATATAAAATGATGGGGTCTCTGAAAACATCCACTCAATGTGCAGTGGCAGTCAAAAATGTGAACAGAATGTTGGGAATCATTAAGAAAAGGGTAGATAATAAGTAAGGCTAAGATTTTGTCATAGTTATTTTTAGTAAAATTCACGGACAGGTCACGGCAGTAAACAAAAATTCACGGAAGCCGTGACCTGTCTGTGGCTTTTGCTGCTGCAGCTCCATGGTTTCCCCCCGCCACTGTGGTGGCTGGGAGCTGTGCGGTTCCTCCTCTACCCAGGGCAGCTGGAAGCTGCAGGGGGTCCCCTTCTGCACACCGCAGCAGGGAGCTGCAGGGTGACCATATTTCCCAAAGAGAAAACGGGACACTCCCAGCTACTCGCCTGAAGTGTTTCCCTTTCCCCTACCCCCACCCTGTGCGAGGCTGTAACCCTGAGGAGGGCCCCTCAGGAGTCTGTCACTGGAACCTTGCAGGGGGCTCCCTGTCACCTGTCACTGCTGTCGCCTGTTGCTGGAACCCTGCCAGGGCCCTGCTGGCTGCCAGCTGGAGGCCAGCAGTCCCTGGGGCTGAAGCAGAGAATGTCACAGAGGTCTCTGGAAGTCACAGATTCCATGACTTCCATGATCTCTGTGACATAAATGTAGCCTTAATAATAAGACAGAAAATATCATGTTGCCTCTATATAAATCCATGGTACACCCACATCTTGAATACTGCATGCAGATGTGGTCGCCCCATCTCAAAAAAGATATACCGGAATTGGAAAAGGTTCAGAAAAGGGCAACAAAAATTATTAGAGGTATGGAATGGCTTCCGTATGAGAAGAGATTAATAAGACTGGGACTTTTCAGCTTGGAAAAGAGACGACTAAGGGGGGATATGATAGAGATCTATAAAATCATGACTGGTGGGGAGAAAGTAAATAAGGAAGTGTTATTTACTCCTTCTCATAACACAAGAACTAGGAATCACCAAATGAAATTAATAATCAGCAGGTTTAAAAGAAACAAAAGGAAGTATTTCTTTACACAACGCACAGTCAACTTCTGGAACTCCTTGTCAGAGGATGTTGAGAAGGCCAAGACTATAACAGAGTTCAAAAAAGAACTAGATAAGTTCATGGAGGATAGGTCCACCAATGGCGAGTAGCCAGGATGGACAGGGATATTGTCCCTAGCCTCTGTTTGCCAGAAGCTGGGAATGGGCAACAGGGGATGGATCACTTGGTGATTACCTGTCCTTTTCATTCCCTCTGGGGCACCTGGCACTGGCCACTGTCGGAAGACAGGATACTGGGCTAGATGGACCTTTGGTCTGACCCAGTATAGCCATTCTTATGTTCACCCCTCTACATACATGGTACCTTTTCTTTTATAATCTCTTCATATAAACCTATTGTGGAAATAGTGTTGACATCTAAAACTATTCTTCAGATGGTTCATTGGTGACATCATCCCCTCTTTTTAATAAGGAAAACAACAGAATTGAACACTATGGGTTAGGGCAGGGGTGGCCAAACTGTGGCTCACGAACCACATGTGGCTCTTTTACCGTTAAAGTGCAGCTTGCGGAGGCCCCCACACCTCCCCCCAATTCTCCACCTACCAGGCTGGAGGGGAGGGGCAGAAGCTTGGGACCTCTACCTTGCAGCGCCGTGGTGGGGTAGGGGCTTCTGCCCAGCTGGGAGGGCCCCGAGCCCCATCAGGTGCCTCCCACAGGGCTGAAGCCCTGAGCCCCAGCAGGTTTGCCCTGGCTCTCGAACTTCTGAAGATTGTCGTATGCGGCTTGGAGGGCCAGTAAGTTGGCCACCTCTGAGTTAGGGTATGGCATTTAGCCACAGCCTACAGTGGGGTGTGGTACCTAGGTACGCTGCCCCAAAGGAGATCTCACGAGGAGACGCAATCCCTCTCTGAGCCACATAACACTAAAGGTGACGATGTAAGCCACATCACCCACTTTGGGAACCCTGCCCAGAAGTGTGGGCAGAAAGAGGCTGTGGAGTACGGGCTCAACCTTTACTGGGCTTGCCTACCACAAATATATGGGGTTCATGTTCATTGCAAGGGTTGGAAGGTGCTCTTTTCCTCTCTTTATAATATGGCCCTGTTATTAGATTTGGGTAAACAACATATAAAGCTTTACTGGGCTGCAGGCCCATCAGATGAAATTCCAGCCTCAAAGAAGTCAATGGAAGTTTAGCCATTGACTTCAATGGGGCCAGGATTTTAAAAATTGTATCTAGAATGTTTTAACAACAGCTATGCCACCCCTAACATTAAATGCCTAACTTGAAATTCTGTGAGTAATAAGCGGGTGATGGTGTCTGTAAAAGTGACTGGCTGTTGCTATTCGAAGAGGTGTTGGGTATTTTATTCCGCATATCTCTAGTAAGAATAACCACACTTTCTCCAACTCAGACTAATTAGGCTGAGGTAGTTTAATGAAATTCCGTTAGGGAAAAAAAAGAGAAAAAATTCACAAAGAGAGATTGTACCTTAACTCTGTCTGTGCGGTTATTGAAGAGTCCGATGCGCCGAATGGTATTGAGGATCGGGTCATTGGAATCATCGATCATGTTGTGGGTGGTTACTGGAGGCAGAGACTGTCGCTACATCAGAATAAAGGCAAACATTGATCAAGGCATGAAAAATGGCTGGCAAAGAATCCATTAACATAGAATCTTAAGGTGAAATCCTGGCCCCGTTGAAGTCAATGGGAGTTTTGCCATTGACTTCATTAGGACTAGGGTTTCACCCTTCAATTTTAAGGCCAGAAAGGAACATTGTGATAATTTAGTCCAACCTAGTGCATAACACAGTGCTATAGAATTTTACCTAATCATTCTTGAATCTAGCCCAATAAATTCTGCTCGTAACAGACGGTATCTTTTACAAAGACACCCATTTTGATTTAACGAATTTAAGTGATGAAGAATCACCCACATCCCAAGGTAAGGTGTTTTAATGGTTAATTATCCCCACAGTTAAAAATGGAAGAGTCCAGGAATCAAGAAGGGATGGGAAATAAAACAAGGACTGAGATGTAGTAGGACGAGGAATTGTGAAGAATTTGAATTTACTATTAAAGGAGAGGACCAAGGAGTTCAGGGAAATACATCAGGTAGTGGGAGTGCTCTTGCGCTACCAAAAGTAGTTAAGATGGTTTGATACTAATTCTTAAAAAGAAACACAGAGACAACGGAAAAAACACACAGACTGCGTTTAAAAAGTTGACTTTAGGAGAAACGTACATGATGGAAAACGATTCTCCAATTCATACATATCCCTGTTCACTATACATGATCCTTATATATGACCGTGTTTATCTTTTCCATCCAATAACTGTGTAAGTACTGACTATTCTCTCTGACCTGAGTTGAAAAGATGGCTCTTTTCATAATGGTTACATCATCCCGGTCAAGGATCTTGTTCAAATCTGGAATTTCTCCCCTGCAAAGGCAATACAGACAGAGTATATCACCAAATGGCTTGTTATTGGGCTTTTTGGACATTATGATTAAGAGTTTGCATTAAAGTTACGCAGAGAAGATGAAGAAACTCAAATAGAGCTGATCCAAAATTCACTGAAGTCAACAGGCATCTTTCCAGCCTCTTCAATCAGCTTTGAATCAGGCCCTTATAGAGTTTTTTCCTGTTTTCTCTATATTGTATCCACATGACTATCCTGTTCTCTTTCTCCCCCCACAGCTTTGCTGCAATTCCCCCCTTTGATGTATTTGGAATATTTGAAAAAGAAAACAAGTCACAAAACCTGTCATGAACTTTTATTTCTATTTTTTTGTCAAAATTTAATTTTCATTTTTAAAAATTTCCAATCAGCTCTATAGGTGAAACCAAACAAGACAAAAAGTGTAAAAAAAAATGTGTCCATTTTTCATAGACATTTCATTTTTGTTGTTTTTTTCCAACCTAATCTTTTGCATTTGGGATCATATAGATCTTCCAACTCAGGCTAAGATCCCTTTGAAATCAATGAGAGTATGACCTGATAAAGGAGTGCAGAAATTTTCTTCCTTTTTACTATAAGCAAAGTTTCAGTATATCAGAGTTCCACTGTATTTTATCTACCTACGCTACTTATATGGCCCCATCACCATAATACCCCACTATCCTTAATGTATTTATCCTCACAACACCACAGTGAGGTAGGGAAATACTACTATCCCCATTTTTTAGATGGGGAACTGGGACTGACAGACAAAAGGATAACATTTTCATAAGCACCTAAGTGACTTAGGAGCCTGCATCCCATTCATTCTCAATGAGACTTAGGCTCTTAAATGCTTAAGTCACCTTTGAAAATGTTACCTTAAGTTACTTACCCAAGCTCACACAGGAAGTCTATTGTGAAGCAGGAACTTGAACATGGATTTCCGAAATCCCTAATGACACCGTTTGTTCCTACCTCTCCCCAATTCTTTTCTTACATCCATAATACACATCTATAAACAACACAGGTGATACAGTGGGCTCCTCTGCAATATAAACACAAAGTGACCTACATACTCACTTCAGTAGTGCATCGTAGAGTTTCTTTCCAAATTTTTCTTTCACACATTGTGCGGTGTCCCTAGTAAATAAATATGAAAAATGGGACATGTCAGGGGCAGGGCCAGAACACACAGTGTTGCTGCTGGTGCCCTAACTTATGCAGGGGGACCCAGGATCAGGGGAGGCAGAAAGGGAGCTACGGCCAATTCCAGCCATACTGACTGTGATTTCAGCACTGCTGAGGAGATGACCCACAGAGATTTTCCCAAGGCCAAAAATGAAGTCAGTGGTAAAACCAGGACTAGAAATTGGGAGTGCTTGCTTCCCAATCCCTTACTCTGACAAATAGACCTCGCTAATGTCTCCGAAACAGAAAAACAGCACTGCAATGTCTTGGGTGGAAAAAGCAGTGAAATGGGACACTTTTCAAGGTTGAGAGGTTTCAAATTTAACCTAACCTAGGGGGGAAAAGAGAGAGAGAGAGAGAGAGAGAGGAAATAGGTTTATTTTAAAATTCCCACCTGCAAGAGCCTTCAAAAACAAGGGATAGGACAAACTGTAGATAAGCTGCAAGCTGTTCCTCCTGATAAATTGGTTTGAAAACCAGATAACTTCTTGGCAAACCTAGGCCAAGTTGCAAACTCATAATAAAATCTGCACCAGACAATGTTTACGTCGTTTAACATTTTGTTGTAGCCCTTTTGCACACCAGTAAAAAGCGCCTCTAAGTACAACTTGCAGTTAGCATATCAAGCCACTAGATGGCATTTCACAGAACATTAAGTACAGCTAAAAGGACTGCACTCAAAAACCAGCAAATGTAGTGTAAAGTCATAAAATACTTCTATGGGACTTTTCCTGCCTTTTTGCTTTTTGAGCATTAGCGATGGGCCTCAGGCAAAAAATGTTATTGGAGCACCCTGAACTTTGGAAAAATTGGATTCCGGCTGCCAACGGTTGGTTGCCTACTGGGTTACAGTGGTTAGACTCTATATCCCACCAACACAAATCATAAAAAGCAAGGCAATAAGAAAGTAAGTCATTCACACCTCTTTGGATCCCCACTAAACAGCTCCCCTTGTCAGCCCCAACCACCTCTCTTCCACCATCTACATATTTTCACCTTCTTTCTGAACAACCAGCCATTACCTCAAAACCCCTTCTATCTTTAATGGTTCTGAGCAAGCTTTTCAAAGGTGTTCACGGGAGTTGGATGCATAGCTGCCCTTTTCTGCCTTTGGAAATTTCCCCCTAGATGTTTGTGTGCTCTGATACTTATGGTGTAGTGGTAGCTAACTGCAAAACCTTAACAGTTACCTCAGAAGCTTTAAGGCAAAATAATTCCCCAAACACACGGAATGTGTGACAGACAGATGTGCTGATTACAGCTGGGCAAATTTATTTTTTGGCAAATGGGAAATTAGCTGAAAAATTCATTTTTGGGTCACAAACTATTCATGAATTTGGATTGAATTCGGATTGAATTCAGCAAATAGATTCAGCTCAAAACAAAATTGGATTAAAAAAAAAGTCAAAACTGGTCAGCCATTTCAGAATTAAATGTTTTGACGTTTTGTTTCGAAACGTCATTTTGTTTAGAGAAATTAATTTTTTTTTTTAACAAAGGTGAAAAACACACCAAAATGACCCCAAACAAATTTAAAACAAAACAAAAAAATATCAGTTTAGGTTAGAACAAAACTGTTTTTAATACAGATTTTGTTTGTTTAATTCTCCAAACTGAAAAATCAATGATTTACTCAGCTCTAGTGCCTATCTGTTGATATAAAAGCATCTAAGGTTACTTAAAGTTGTGTGTTAAAAAGCAAGTGTGCTGAGGTTGCAGTATGAAAAAGGAGCACTGGATTGTGTTACTGAGTGTGGTAGGCAGTATGAAGGTGGAAAGGAATACACAAGTCTTTCTCCTTAACTTATTTCCCTGATTTTAAAATTATAGGTGGACGGGACATACCCTGCCACAATCTTAACTGGCAGTAAATGCAGTTTTTGTGTGCTATTAATATAGAGTTAGGGTGGTTTTAACCAATTACACTGTGCATAGTTCTGTTTGTGCTTTGTATTGGTGTGTACAAGTTAGCACTTGCCTCTCCTGGTGATATTTATACTGGGTTGGCTATACCAGTGCAAATCTCCAACATATAGATTCATAGATTCCATGGCCAGAAGGGACCACTGAGATCATCTGGTCTGACCTGCTGTATAGCACAAGCCACAGAACTTCCCCCAACTAATTCCTAGAGCAGATCTTTTAGAAACACATCCACTCTTGATTTTAAAATGGTCAGTGATGCAGAATACACCGTGACTGTGGGTAAATAGTTCCAATGGTTAATTACTCTCACCATTAAAAAATTTACACCTTATTTCCAGTCTGAATTTGTCTAGTTTAACTCCCAGCCATTGGATTGTGTTATATCTTTCTTTGCTAGACTGAAGAGTCCATTATTAAATATTTGTTCCCCATGTAGATACTTATAGACTGTAATCATGTCACCCCTTAACCTTCTCTTAACCAACATGGATGTGCTACACCAGTTTTAAACCAGGGGAAGCTGTATTGATGCAAACCTTGTATTACAGCGATGTTATGTGTCTGCCAGGGGCAGTTCTAGGCACCAGCAAAGCAAGCACGTGCTTGGGGCAGCCCATTTGCAGGGGCGGCCGGGATCCAGCCTGGGAGCCGAGAACCAACGGGGAGCCTAGGGAGCCGTAGTTCCTTGGGCCTGGTCCACACTAACCCCCCACTTCGGACTAAGGTACGCAAATTCAGCTACGTTAATAACGTAGCTGAATTCGAAGTACCTTAGTCCGAACTTACCGCGGGTCCAGACGCGGCAGGCAGGCTCCCCCGGCGATGCCGCGTACTCCTCGCGCCGAGCTGGAGTACCGGCGTCGACGGCAAGCACTTCCGGGATCGGTTTATCGCATCTAGACAAGACGCGATAAATCAATCCCAGAAGATCGATCGCTTACATCCGGACCAGGAAGTAAGTATAGACGTACCCTTGGTTAGCTCCCTGCCTATAGAGCCAGCCCTGGAGCAGGGAAAGAACTACATTTCCCAGCATTCCCATGGCCACTACCACCAGGAAAGAGGGAGGGAGTGAGGTGGCTGAGACCTCATGCTGCAGTGAATGGAGAGCTGCACTGCGAGTAGGGATACCATATTTTAACATTCAAAAAAATAGGACACTCCACGGGGAGGGAGGGTAGCCCCACCCTGCCACCATCCACTCCCTCCAACTGCCCCCCACAGAAACCCCAATCCATCCAACCCTCTTGCTCCCTGTCCCCTGACTCACCCCCTCCTGGGACCCCTGCCCCAACTGCCCCCCAGGACTCCCACCCCCTATCTAAGCCCCAATGGTCCCTGTCCCCAAC